GCATTCCGCGCTAGGGATCTCAGACAACCGCGGATGGAGCACCGCGACCATTCTCGGTGCGCCGAACCCGGGCCGAGACAGAGGAACCTACGCTGCCCCGGGATTTCTGTACAATTCGAATCTCCGGCAAGCGCTGCGAGTCCGGGGAAGGGTACTGCATGAATGCAGAAGTGTCCCGATTCTTGGTTTTCCCCATTCTCTTTTACATCGACTATATTTTTTACTTTGTAGCTTGATAAATGGGCATGTATCGATACCTTAAACATCGTCGTGTCGGGCGTTCTTTCTCCGATTGAGACCGGGAGGATTGAAAACCCAGAACTGGAGAATCAATGGCAAGCGTCGGGCTATCGGTCGATAATCGACCCCCGCTCATGGGATCGATCTTTCTCAATCTGTGTTCCACTTTCGCGCAGTTCAAAGGCGCTACCTTGCACAGGATGGGGTGCGGCTGAGTTCAAAAGCCAGTCTGGGACGCTTAATGCCAGACTTTTTTGTTTGAAAAGAGTCAGAGTGGTATCCCAAAGAAGCGGTCGTGCATATAGACTCACCACAATATCCAAATTTTTGATGGCGCAAAATTGTTCAACTGGAGTTCAGTAGGTACGTTGTACTTCTGAATTCAAGGTGGAAAATCGTCACAGACGTTCCAGGTGATATTTGTGTCGATTAAAAGTGCCACCACCAATATGATTATCACCCGACAAACATCCATCGAAACGGCCGTAACGGATTCGACGAATAGGCCCGTCCGTGGCTAGAAACGGCCTTGTTTTCGAAGGCCGTTCCGTTAAACGGACGGGTCGGAGCCCTAACTCCACGGGATGAGGGCAAGGCTTGAGGCCATTTCCTGATCAGCTCGGGGTATGGGTGAGTAGGGACCCTTCGTTCAGCGCTTAACTAAAATGCGAGACATACCCAGCTGTATACTGCATGTCGGTCAAAAACCCACACTGTGTCGTGTCGGTGCGGACCATCCCGTCCGTACATTCTTCTTGGAAGTCTCCGAAATAGAGCTGTGGAGGCTGTTGTGCTGAATCGAGATGCGGGCGCTTAATTCAGAATTGCGAAACTCGATGCCATTGGACGAACGCAGGATGAAATCGGTGTTAGTAATGAGTCTGGGAGAAGAAGGGAGGTGCGAGCGCCTGCGCTTCACTACACCCGACAGATACAGCTTGCCCACAGCATTCTGGGAAGATCATTCCCCAGTCCGAATGTTTTTTTTGGACCACGAAAATAGAGCGGTGATTGCTGGAGCGAAGCGTGGGCGCTAAGTTTAGGCGCCTCCCGGCGCCTCATTCGGGCCACGAAGAAAAGGTATGATTCTCGAGAAGAAATAGAGAAAAAAAACGAAGTTCGATACCGTCTGGTAATGATGTTGATGGCTCCAGGGCCCACAGGGCCATGGCCGCCCAAATACCTAGAGGAACGAGACAGAAACAGAAAACGAGGGAAAACTCGCGCCGCACCGAGACGGGATTGGAAAAGCCAAAGCGACAAACACAGCATAAATGGTAACACAATCGAAGGAAGAGAAGACGTGGTACGAAGTGCCCGGTGCACAGAATGAAAAGGGAAGGTCACGAAAAACAAGTTCTTCAAGCGCAGAGAAGATATCTCCTCGTGACAAGAGATCGCCGAGGGGATAGTTTGACGCACTGAATGAACTGGCAAAGAGAGACGAAAATATCGATATTGCAGAGGAAATTCGAAACCATCGTGACGTCAACGCAACTAGGCGCTGGCAAAGAAAATGAGACGGCCATCCTGAGGCGAGGAAGCCTATTATCGATCGGGAAATCGCGAGCGTGGTGCCGGCACAAAATACTGTCAGGAATGCGCATGTGCCGTCGGAGGTAGTAGAGAGTTCTAGCATGTATTCTTGCCAGTACCGTGAGAAGCCACGCATCCATTCTGGAATGTAAGAAAGGAACGTTGTGGTGGTGATGAGAAAGACTTTTTGTGGCGATGCAGTCACGCATCAGCAAGCAATCGGTATGCGGTCCGCAATTCCGCCTCTTACTTTGAGTTATATTGATGCTGGGTGACCGCTTGAATTGATGCCGTGCACGCGCGCACCATGCTTCGTTAATATGCCTGCGGAGGGTAGTCACCGCGCTGGGTCAAAGCCGTTATCAAGTATCTTTAGCACCGCAAGTGCCGACTCAACAAAAGGACACTCTGGATGTGTAGATACAACAATTAATTGCGACTGCGTACGACAACAGGTACATAAAAGCTCAGGACGCCCTCCCTCCCTGAATCTGCACCTGCTTGCGCGCCATGCCGAAATTATCACCAGCAACCGAGCCATCATCTTTGAAATGAATAATAATCAAAAACGAATAACTAGAGCGCACCTTCGTCGCAAACCACAACAACTTGAGCGATTCGTTCAGGTGCACCGCAAGCTGGGAAATTTTTTCAAATATATCCGACTTGTCATATTGAAAATGAAAGAAGGACGCACCAACCTCTTTGAAATCCCGCCCACCGAGTTCTGCAGCAGGCAACCGTGGAACATGTACATTTTTCTTTCCGTTCAGAAAGAAAGAAAAAGTAAGAAGGATGACACCTTTTTCGGCAGCCAATCTTTCCTCGCCGAAGCGCTGTCCGTGCGAAGATGATTGACGTAACGACGTTTGTCTGGCAACATTATAAATGTGAGTATGATTGGAGTATGATTGAAGAAAAAAATCACTTCATCGGATATTCGGATACAGGGAGTCCAACCCCGGGTTTTCAGCAGTACTCAAACCGTCCAAACAACGTAGTGATAGCTGATGTGCGCCGTATATTACATCCGAGTCAGTACCATTCATTTGCAGCTGGATAAGTGAGAGATATCTTAGCATTTTTGCACCATTAAAATAAAAGTAGCTCTAAACTTCACTATTCGGAGGCGGGGAGTCGAACCTCGGTCTTCAGTTTTGTTATGAGAAACTGACTAGTTAAGAACTGAGGTGCGCCGTCTACAACCGAGTTCTTTCCTACCCTTTGAGCTTGGGTATTGAATGCGGTCTTTTCGCGGACTCAGGAGAGAAGACAAAAAAAAGACACATTCCCAACTCATTCGGATGCGGGGAGTCGAACCCCGGTCCTTAACCCGACAATCGTTTGAAAGCCCGATGAGCTGATATGCACCGTGCACCACATCCGAGATATCCCATACCCTTTGAAGCTGGGTAAGTAGGATTATTTTAGTATGGATGTGGCAAAAAAAATGAATTGTCAAAGTGAGTCGAACCCGTTCTTCAGCAGTGACACACGTATGAGAGCTGATGTGCACCGTGCACCACATCCGAGTTCTTCTCTACCAATTGGAGTTGGGAAAGTGGAAATATTTGAGCATCCACAGGACGAAAAAAGAAATTCATGCACTCATTGCGATTCGGATGCGGGGAGTTGAACCCCCTATAGATACCTCTGGCGCGATCTACAAGCAGCCTCTGTGCACTGTGAATCACATCTGAGTTCCCTTTATTCATAAAACATGAGGTATTTCAGCATGAGCATGATTGAAAAAAAAAACATTTGCTTCGCTAACTCATTCGGATGCAGGGAGTCAAACCCGGCTTTCAGCCCTTGATTTGGGGACTTGGCAGGTGAAGTTGATGTGCACCCGTACACCACATCCGAGTTTTTATTTATCCTTTGAACCTGAGTAAGTGGAACTGCGGGGGTTCATGGTCCTTCCAAACTCAAAAATGTCTTTGAAACATGTCTACCATTTTCGTTAAACTTTCGGAGCTCAGGAAAAAAGGCCAAGGATATCAAGTGTTTTCTTCATTTTTCCCTCCTGATAGAAGATTTTCTGAGTAATAAAGCGGCTTTGCTGATTTTTTTTCCGGTCGAGAATTAATTCTATTCATAATACCAAAGACTGTTTGAACAAATAATGATTTCTTTGTCACACAAAGAAACAAATAGCATTTCAGTCACCCTTTGGCCAGATTTTGACCACCGAAAGAGATGCTGGCAGAGGGAGAAGATGATCTTACATTTTTCATCTTATCTTTGTTACAAGCCCTAAATTTAATGAAACAATTAGACCTCTTTGAACCTCGTTTTTGGGTCACAAAGATGTGTGGACCCCAGCAGTGTGGGCATTATTTTTGGCATGGCATGCCCCAAAAATGAATCGGGACTGCCATCTTATTCGGATGCAGGGAGTCGAACCCCAGGCTCCAGCTTACAGCATCAGTATCCAAACAAGATAGTGCTAGCTGATGTGCACCGTGCACCACATCCGACTTACCTTACTTCTTTTGAAGCTAGGGAAGTAGCAGTATTTCAGCATGGATGAAAAAAAAAAGACACCAAAAGGCCGAACGCATTTGGTGCAGGGAGTCAAACCCCGTTCTTCAGCATCAAGCGAATTCAAAATATACCACAAGGTGTTGATATGCACCGTGCACCACATCCGAGCTATTACCATTCATATGGAGTTGGGTAAATGTGGTATTGCAGCGAGGAAATGGGCAAAAAACATGGAGACATATTGAATTCGGATGCGGGGAGTTGAACCCCATTTTCAGCATGGTAAGTGAATCCAGATGACCTGGAGCTGAGGTATTCCGTACACCACATCCGAGCTATTTCCTCTATTTGAACCTGAAACATCCTGCGTGGATGTGGCCAAAAAAAACCACATTGCCTCTATCATTCGGATGGGGGAGTCGAACCCCGGCGTTCAGCTTACAGGCTTGCTACGGAGTTATTTAGAGCCAAGATGCACCGTGCACCACATCCAACTTGGTTCCCTTCATTCAAACCTGGATAAGTGGGCAGCATTTTGGCATGGACCAAAGAAAAGAATTCAAATGCGAACTATTCGAACGCGGGGAGTCGAACCCTGTTCTGGAGCATTCACTGGATTATAAATTCATACTGGGAGCTGCCGTGCACCGTGCACCACAATCCGAGTTAATAGCCTTCAGTAGTAGCATTTTGGCGAACTCAGGAGAGAAAGGCAAAAATGAAAGACGCAGCGCATATTCGGATGCGGGGAGTCGAACCCCGTTCTTCAGCTCTCACAAAGCCTGGATTCCTTTTACAAGAAGCCAATGTGCACCCTGCACCACACCCGAGTTACTTGCATCTAGCCGAGAGCAAGCCGGGCCGGTAGTATTTGCACATGTTTCGGCCCTCGAGTCTCGTGGCATCCTCGCGGTAGGAGGTAGTACCAAAGGCAGACGCAAGCGTTCAAGGACACCGGACAGTCCACGCTCCGTTGTAACATCATATGTGGCTCGTGCTCCTTCCAATATTGTAACTTCTACTGTGCCCCCTCCCCATGCTTCCCCTTCGTCCTGTGCTCCTTCTGCTCCTTCTCATGTACCATATGGTCGTGTGTCCCCTTCTCCTGGTGCTCGATATGGACCTGATACTGTGACTCGTGCTGCTGATCCTGTTCCTTCTACTGTACCATCTACCCATGCGCCCACTTACTCGACTGCTCCCTCTGTACCATCTACTGTACTATCCGCTCGCGCTCTGAGTGATAATTCCTCTACTGTAACATCTCATGTAATATCTAGTGTACACCACACCGAGGTTAATAGTACACCGGTTCTGGTATCCGACAAGGGGTATGAGATTACTGTCCGATGCTGGAATGTGGATGGACGGCTGGCGGCAAATTTGTCGCATCCTGATTTCCTTGCAGAGCTGTCTGACTACGACATTAATCTCTTTCAGGAGACACATTTGTGGCCCGGTCAAGAACTGACATTGCCCCTGCCGGATGGCTACGATGTCTTTGCAGTTGCAAGGGAACCTTCCGGTACATTCGCTAAATCTTGGGGTGGCGTGGCGGCGATCGTATCCGATAGAGTGGCTACCTCAGTCAACACGGACCTGTCTGGACCCGATCTACTCGTCCTGAACGTTGGAAGTTTGCTCTTATTCAGTGCGTATGTTCTTCCTAACGGTTCACCCTGGGAATCATGGACTCGGGTGCATCCCTTGGAGAAGTTGGCTCAGTCGTTGGCTATCGCGCGCGAGTGCGGGCGAGCAGTTGTGGTTGTGGGAGATCTTAATGGAAGGATTGGGAATTGTCGGGTGTCGAAGGATCATCCGAGAAGATTCTCAATGGACACAACAGTGAATGCGCGGGGAAAAGAACTCTTGGCAATTGCGGACGACTGTAATCTAAGAGTTATGAATGGAGACTCGCGGTTTGGTTCGGCTTCGTGGGGTTGGACATTCCAAATACTTTATTAGCTTTCCTTAAGTTCTAGGCGGTCAGACCACTTTTGCAACTTAAGTTTAGGAAGATCTTAAGTTCTACTAAGTATTATGTACCTACTGGGTCCTGCCTGTACGGGGTCATCCTGAACTTAAGTTCCCTCATGCCTTGAGTCCTCCACCACTCAAGTTCGGTCATAAGATTAAGATTGCGCAGCTATAGATAATTAGCGACTCAAGTCCCAGAAGAGGACTTGAGTTCGCGAAGAACTTGATTTCTACCATGACACTTCAGTTCCGTGTCGAAGCTTTAATGGAACACGCCGAACTGAAGTATGTCATCCATTCACACTGAACTTAAGTTCCAGAAGGTGGCACAGTCCCTGAAAGAAGACGAAGAAAGCCACACAGAAACTCACCTCTGCTGAGGATAACAATAATGAGAACCTATTGGGTTGCATCGGATAAGTTTCTGACTTCATAACAAAGAGTGGCACATACCCGGAGTCAGCGAGAGCAGCACAGCCGTGATCAAGCCGCCACCAAAGATGCCAGAAAGTCATTGATAGGTCACGATAACTGAGACTGTTGAGTTTGATCTTGCAGAAGGAAAATAGGATAAAGGGTTGAGGGGAAGAGAAAAGAGGTCATGGAAGTTAAGAGTCAAAGTGTTCAAGTGTTGTCGCGTGTTTGGCAAATCTCAGCGCTTATTGTGAATTGGTAACGTCACGCGTTACTCATTCGCTTCTCTCCTCTAGCCATTACCCACGAACCTGCCGAACCCGCCAAACGCACCGCAGCCACGAAATACCTTCGAAGCCGGGCCTCCTAGAGACAGGGTGCATCTTCTACTTGATTCTGCGGGGCCAATGACCATGCCCGGGCCGCCTTTCTTGCCGATAAAACCTGTGCCACCCGCCAGCATAAACCCGCAGCTTCGTTGCGCACGTCTAGGTGCGTGTTCTTTTCGTGTCCATGCGCCACCTCCACCTCCCTCCTTCCCCTTCCCCATCCCTTCGTTTTCTTTTGCTGCGCTTTTACTGCATTGGCCTACCCTTACAGTGACAAGCAAACTTAAGTTGTGCATGTGCGGGACTTCAGTGGGACAGAGCGATGGATGAACTGAAGTTGCACGGACTTGAGTGGGGCAGGACTCAAGTTGGACGGAACTGAAGTGTTACAGAACTCAACTTGTATGAAGCTTCAGTACAATGTACCTCGGAGTTGATCAATGCCAAATACTTGAGTACTTAAATTCGAGGATCGGTGGGGGTTGGGGTGGGTCCTGCAGGTGGCCCAGACATGGGGTGTGCGGACCTTAAGATCTGCCGCAACTTGAGTTCGAAAAACAGTCTGACCGCCTAAAACTTAAGGAAAGCTAATCTTATTTCATGACATTCCAACATAAACAGAAACCCACTCCTGATGGTCCACCCCCCAAGCTGCGCAGGTCTGTTGTTGACTATGGATTGTGTAATCTTGAGAGCTGTTCGATGGTTATGGACTTTGAGGTCGGTTTGGTTGGGATCTGGTCTGACCATGCACCTTTATATCTGACGCTGAAAGTACCTGATGTTCCGATGGAAAGTAACCCGGGGAAGAATTATGTTCGTGAGAAACGGCGGGAGGCGAACGAGACTACGGCTTACCTGGATGTGCTATTGAGGGAAACTATGGCTTCAACGTTGACGCCGGAGGCTGCTAGAGAGAAGCTGTATGGCCCGGTTCTAGATGTGTCGGAGTATGTGAAAACCTATACTGATGGCTCCTGTTACAATAATGGCTCACCGGATGCGCGTGCGGGGGCAGGTGTCTATTTTGGCCCTAACAACCCTCGTAATCAGGCGTTGAGAGTCTCTGGCTCTCAAACAAATAACAGGGGGGAGTTACTGGCAATCTTATATGCACTGTCAAGAGCTAGACCATGGGAGGCGGTCGAAATATACACCGACTCTGAGTATGCGATTCGTTCAATAATGTACTGGGCTGTGAAGAATGAACAAAAGGGATGGAAATGTGCCAACGGAGATCTACTGAAGGACATCGTGTCTTGGATCCGGTATCGGTCAGCTGTAGTACGATTCAGATATGTCGCTGCTCACTCGGGTAATATGCATAATGATGCGGCAGACGCTCTGGCTAAAGAAGGAGCAAAGCTTGCACTACCCTCCACGACTTACGTCGGCTTGAGAGCACCTGTAGTTCCATATCAATCTGAACATTGGACAGAAGGTGGACATGCTTTCGGACCCAAAGTATCCAGCGACATTCCGGAACTGCCCACAAAAGATAAACGGTCTGTCAAAATGAGCACGGATTCTGACATGCCGGATCTCAATCACTATCGCCAGCCGCACCGGGGTCGTGCTCTGTATCGTGCGATTAAACGGACGAACCTGAGGAAAATTACCAGTGCATCGTCGAATTCTGCCCCGTTTTAGAAACTTTACAGAAGTATGGCCTGTCCGAGGTCTAAGCCTGCTGCAGTGGACCTGATTGAGCTTGCGGCGTGTTTTGAGAAAAGAATGAATGCAAAGGACCCACCTCCCGCTGCTTTTAACATGGAATATAAACGTGCTGTAGAGGAGGCGGCGGCTTCAATTCCTGTTACAAGTCTTTATTTATAAAGATTCGTTCTTAGCACTGAGTGAATCCCGAATTCCCACAGATTCCCCATTTGGCTTGACAGACATGTGATTACCGTTCTATCGGTTTTGATGTCATTACCTGTCTGCCTCTGGCTCAATTGCTGGGTACATGCTTCAAGGCATTCAGGATTTCTCTGCAACAAGAAGAGGGAAAGCCTTTTGGAATGTATATGAGCCCAATAAATTCTTTATATTGTGTATGCAGAATGGCAAACACGTCGCAAGCAGCGATTGTGACATGTCGTGCAGTGCGGAGCAGAGGAGCGGGAGGCCGGCCCAGTCTAGTACAGCGCTGCACAAGCATGCTCATGTAATCAGAGCTCAGAGGGGGGATGGTGTCCGACATCAGCTGTGGGGCAGTTGCTTGCTTTCGTCATTGGGGTGGCAGGGTAAGAAGTATAAATAGCTGCTGTATGATTGTCATCACAGTGTGGATCAGATGGATCTGATTGCTGATTATGATGTGCATTGACGATCGATTGGATGATTGATTTGATTCTTCCTCCTTGATGTGATTAGATTTGGTTGGCAGAGAATATAAAGGAGCCATCTGTGGCGATCATGGTCGATGTGGACTGATGTGGTCCTGATTACCACCAGTGATTATGGTTGATGTGGTCTTGATTGGCACCTCAGCAAAGATGGTGATGATGATGAAGTCAATTAACGTGGTGATGCAGGCATGTTAAGACATATAAATAGCTTTCGGCGATCATGGTTGATGTGGACTGATGTGGACCTGATAAGCAGTGATCCTGGTTGATGTGGTCATGATCGGCACTTCGGCAAGGATGATGATGTTGAAGTCAATTAATGTGGTGTGTATTCTACTAACTAGTTGCGTGCTTTCATTGTCTTTGGCAGGCACATACATATAAGTAAATTTCCGGCGGTCATGATTGATGTGGACTGATGTGGTCCTGATTACCAGTGATCACGGTTGATGTGGTCCTGTTCGGCACCTCAGCAAGGATGATGATGATGATGAAGTCCATTAATGTGGTGAAGCAATACTGTATTCTCCTAACTAATGTTTTGATGTGCAATATCTTGGTTAGTTGCATGTTTTTGTTGTCTTTGGCAGGCTAAGACATAAGTAGCTTTCCAGTGATCATGGTTGATGTGGACTGATGTGGACCTGATAAGCAGTGATCCTGGTTGATGTGGTCATGATCGGCACCTCGGCAAGGATGATGATGATGAAGTCAATTAATGTGGTGTGTATTCTACTAACTAACTAGTCATTGTCTTTG